TTGCTGTGGAAACATTCACACAAAAACATTCCTTTTGACAAAGGAACTTTAATGAATGGGTGGGGGAAGGGCAGCAAGATGCCAGTGGCTACACAAACTGAGAATGAAACCAAGATAATGGTTGAACAAATGTATTCTAATTATAAGAATGGAGATTTTGATAGGAAGAACTTCCTGAAAGTAAATGTTGTTTAGCAGAAGTCTTGGAATAAATTCTCCTTCATTGGAGATGTCCAGAAGCTGGGTGATCATCTCTCGAGGGTGCTTGAACTGGGATTTCCCAACCTGGCGAAAGGTTGGACTAGATGGCCTTCTGGGGTCTTTCCAGCCCAACAGTCTATGATCCTATGTTTCTGTTAAAAGATGTTTCTGAGAAACGTGTAACCGTTAGGCTCAAACAGCACATCGCAAGTCAGTTGTATATTCTCTTTGATGGACTAGTTCCATGTGTGGAAGTTCTTGCCCCTCTGAAATTTTAATTGGAGATTGGAGATATACTTTTTTCTTTTTTTTCTTTTTTCCTTTTTTTGCTATATTACTGGTTGTCTCTTCATTACTTGTTTCTTTAACAGGGGGAAATGAATAGTTTTTTTTTTTTTTTTTTTTTTGCTATATTACTGGTTGTCTCCTCATTACCTGTTTCTTTAACAGGGGGAAATGAATCTATCATACCAAAGCTGGTAAGATTCAGGGCAGGTGCAGAAGAGGAGAGATGTGGTTTATCTTTTTTAATGTTATGATTAAAAGGAATACGTATTTTTTTGAAAACGCATTGCTTGTAAAGAGCTGTTAGGTTACCTGTATTAAAAGTTAAATTAAAATACAACACTGTATTCTTCCAAATGAGCCTAGCATGTGTTTGTCGTCGTGTGGGTAAAGGCTTCGCTTTTTCTCAGTGTGTCCAGACAGGCTCACATTTTAATTTAATTGGCTTTTTAAAAGATAGTATATGATATATTTATATTTTGGCTTTATATCAGAACGCCTAATACTTGTTTTTACAAAGCCAATATGAGTTCTAATAAAATAAAATAAAATAAAAATGTGTTCATCTCCCTGATCCAACACTGACCTCTAGTGTCCAAACAGAAGTATACCAAAATGCTATTTTTGTTTATGGCCCATAAGGATCCATGTTTCAAAAGACACATAGTGCTGAAATAATACACCATAGACATTTAAACACTTTTTAAAAAAATAACTCTTAAAGCTCACTGATGTGGATTGGGAGAAATTCCAACTTCTCAAAACATAGGAATTCAATGAGTAGACATTGTCTAGAAGGGCGGGATAAAAATCTACTAATAAACTAACAAACAAACAAATTATGAAATCTGATATTCCTGCGGTGATACAGTTTTCCTTTCCAACTCACCTTCTGAGGTGTTAATTTTTACATCTTTTTTCTTGTCAGACAAGCTCTTCCATTGCTTCTTGTCATTTAAAATTTGTCTTCATTTATCTGCATGATTTCAAAGCAAGTTAAAGTTTAACCATGTTCAATGGCTAAATGGCTACATTCAGACATTGTAAAGATAAATATGCTACTAGTTGGTGCTGCATCTAGATCCACTTATATATTTTGGTGAACATCTTGTTGCCAATATGTAAAGTGGAAGGGTAAGCACATAGCTAACCCATCACAATGGCATGCTTCTTATTGCATGACGTTTGCATGAAGCATGACAAACTTCATACCAATGGAAACAAACCATGGTTTGAAGGTGGCTTTGCAAACTGTGGTTTATCCTAATGATAGTTTATTACGATGTCTGAATTAACTGACTATTGCAAGCCACAGTTAGGGCTAGGGATGGAAATCATGCATGCCAAATTCCTTGTTGTCAACAGTTTAAGCTGTCTTGGCGTGATGAGACACCTCAACAACAGATCAAAGACTAATGAGATTCCTCAACTCCAGCTGAGAGTGAGAGAAGGATCTCCCATTCCCCTGAGGATCTCTGTAATTTGCAGAAAATGCCTCTAGTGTCCTTTCCTTTTAGAAAGCAAAGTACACACATACACACCAAACACAGGAGTACAGGCTGATTCTTAATATGTGACTTAGCTTTCAAGTCATGGCACTTGACAGACGGCACACTTTTGAGCACATGGGTGCTTTTGTGCAAAAAAAGGCAATTTATGTCAAAGAAAAGAATGTTGCATTTCCTCATCACATCTGCAGACAATCCAACTGAAAACTTACTTCTGTATTTAGGACTGTTGCTCCATTGGTCTGTTCCACCGTGAAGATGGGAGAAAGCTTATGAAGCTGATTTTGAACAGGCTCTGGGAAACAAAAGCAGTCAGGTAATTCTAAACTGGGGGTTGCCTATGGTACATGTGAAGGGTCAAAACATATTTTGGATTATTAATTATGGCTAGTAAACCATGATTTGGTGTGATATCTGAACTGAGCCACCAGCTTATAAAATACAGAGACACAACATAAAAAAGAAGTGGAGAGTTCCGTGCACCTCACTGGTTGGGTATACATTGGTACTGAGGTATTCTACTAAACAATTCGTTTGATTTGTACAATTTAACTAGACTCCATGAACCAACAGCAAATACATGTACTAAATTCAGAAATTTTATTAGAATAGATGTAATTATTGTGGAATAATTATAAATTTATTATTATAGACACTAGAATTCCAGGCAGAATACAAATAATTTCCCTGCATTTCTTTATCAGCATTCACCACGGCTCGTCTTGAGGAAACCATCTTGATATACAGAGGATCTAAGAATCACAGGCAAATAACAAACTGTTTGCTAGCCCAGGAAAGAAAGATTTACAAATTGGTTTTAATACCATGAAGCGGTCATGCAATTGGAAGGATCTAAGTAAACCTTGAAACATACCAACTATTTTAAATAGAAGCACAGAAATCTCTGTAGGAATCTTGGTGTGGTTGCCACAGCTTGTGCAGGGATGAAGAAACATTTTTGGTTCCAGACTTGATGGCCTTATAGGTCCCTTCCAACTTCACATTTCTATGATTCTGTGATTCAGGAGCTAGTTGTCCCCATGGATTCATTCAGCAGGCTAGGTAATGTCAGCATTTAGGACAGCATCTGACCCCTCCCTAGCCCTGACCTCTGCCACTTCACATTCTGTGCAAAGAGGGACATGGAGTCTTGGTGTTCTTTGTCCCTTTCAGAAAGTCCCTAAACACTCATTCCTTCAGACAGGAAGAGAAATAAAAAGGAAATCCCAGTATGTCTGATCATTGATCCATGATAGCAGCTGGAATTCCCTGCATAGAATGCAGAAAACATTTGGGACTCCAGCTGTTAACCTCTGTTCATTAGAATATTACCTGGGGGAATTTTGCCCACTGAAATGAATAGGACTAAGAGGAAGAAGTAGAGTCCAGGGTCTGATACACAATCTCCATGCAACTATTCCAACCCTGATTTTCAGATAACAGTTACAAAAGTATTGTTACATTAGTGGTAGGCTCTATGACTATGCTGAAATCTGGAAAATCACTTATAAATCTGGAAAATCACCAGGAATTCCTCACCACCTCTGGCACAGGGAAGAATGTTGTGTTTCCTCATCCTCATACCTGAGGACAAGACAAGCGGGGATTTACCTCTTTATCCAGGATGATTGTTCCCTTTCATTGGGAGAATTTATGAAGTTGAGTCCTGAACAGGAACTGGGAAACAAAAGCAGGCAGGTAGTTCTAAATTGGGGTTTGCCTATAGTACATCTGAAGGATCAAAGCATATTTTGGATTAATTATGGCTAGCAGATGATGATTTGGCTTGATACCCTAGTGGAGCCATTAGCTTTTTAAAATAATGAGACACAGAGAGAAATAAAGAGAAGAAATTCCACCTCCCTTCTGAACAGAAAATCCAAATTTCTGCAGAGATGGCTGGCATTATTGGAGTAGTGTGAAATGAAAAAGAGAAAGCTGCTGTCTCAACCATCAAGGTGAATGTTCTTAAATTAGAACGCAGGAGTCTCTATACCTAATCAGATAAAAGGTAAAGGTTCCCCTTGACATTTAGTCCAGTCATGTCCGACTCTAGGATGCGGTGCTCATCCCCGTCTCCAAGCCGTAGAGCCAGCGTTTGTCCATAGACAGTTTCCGTGGTCAGGTGGCCAGCGTGACTAGACACGGAATGCCGTTACCTTCCCACCGTGGTGGTTCCTATTTATCTACTCGCATTTACATGCTTTCGAACTGCTAGGTTGGCAGGAGCTGGGACAAGCGATGGGAGCTTACTCTGTTGCGTGGATTTGATCTTATGACTGCAAGTGTTCTGACTTTGCAGCACAGAGGCTTCTGTGGTTTAACCTGCAGTGCCACCACATCCCTTTACCTAATCAGATAGCACATAATAAAAAGGTTGTGGCATTACATTTGGTTAGCCACCGCTACAAATAAGAATTTGGATTTGAGATATATCAAGCCTATGCTTAAATGCTATAATAATAATAATAACAACGGTTTCAGCATGTCAGCAATCTATAATCTTAAAACTGTAGAGCTGGAAGTCCAGACCCCGTCAAGGAGGCACAGTGAGGAATCAAACTCCCAACCTCTGGTTCTGCCTAAACCACTGAGCTATCCAGCATTTCATATAATAATCTTAGAAATGCAGAACAGGAAGAGACCTTATGGATCACTGAGTCCAGCCCTTATCAAGGAGGCACAGTGAGTAATCGAACTCTTAACGTCTGGCTCTGCAGTCAGATACTTAAACCACCGAGCTTTTTTTTTTCTCTTTGTAGTAAATTTTGACACATAATTCCACTGCATCTTCACGCTTCATCTAATGCACTACACAAGCCACTGTGTACTATCTGTATACAGAATGACATCTTGTTGCAATGCGTGTCATCATAGAAAGGTTGCACAATTTAAGCTTGAAAACAACATAGAATGTTAGCCAATAATAATTATAATAATAACAATAATGTAAAAACAAAAGCCAAAGGAGAAAAACAGTTCCACTTCCTCCAAAAGTGGGCCAAAGTTTAGAATAATTATCTACACAAATAATTCCTATTCCACTATATTAGATTACATCATTTATATGACACACAGTACAGACATTTCAGTTCTGGAAAATTCTCTTTACAGATGGCACTGCATTTTCTAATTTGGAAGTTGCAAAGATGGATTGCTCTCATCAAATTCTAATTCTGAGCGTGACATTAAATCTACATTTGCTAATAAAGAAAGTACAACCAAATCACTTGCACAAATGAAAATAATAAACAAAGTTTGTCCTACAAATGAAATACTTAAATTAACATTTACAGCTCTGGGCTTTGTCACTTATTAACAAGTTTTCAATGGTGTAACTTTGTCTTAAATTATCTGTAGAAGTGTTTACCTCTCTCAGATAAAAGGAGTACATGGATTTAGTTTAAGTGATAGGAAGCAAAATTAACAGGCGCTAAGTTGTTACTCACTGCTAGGTGATACAAGATGATAAAAATGTGATGTGATTTGGAACTGCATGTTTATGTGTTCATGTATCCCAGATGATAACCAGACAATAAACACAATATTTGTGTTTACCATAAAATTAGTAAAGAAAACCCAAAATATGTACAGTATATGCCTCACTTACGGCATCTTGCTTTGCAATCCCCCTTTTGCTTTTATGTCTACTTCTGTGTTCCCCAATGTCCCACTATTAGCACCCACAACTTAGTTTTACAACCTCTGCAACTGGTACACCGACAGCAGGAAGTGTGGCAGGGCAGAAAACAGAGGGAGTTGGAGGGGATGGACTGGGAGAAAGGGAGCAAGTGAGACAGCATCAGACAGACAGACGTGAGAAGAAAGCCAAGTGGGGTAGAAGATGCAAGTTTGACAGTAGAATATGGATGGAGAAAAGAGAGGACAGCCAAGAGGGACAAAAGGAGCAAGCAAGGCAATGGAAAGTGGATAGGAAATGGGAAACGATAGCAAAGGGAACAAAAAGAGCTAGCAAAACAGCAGAGGAGAGAGGACAAGAGAGAAAGAAAGTAGATCTGAGCCTCAAGTGTTATCTGGAAACCAAACTCCTATTTTAATATTGCTCCCAGTCGGGAAGTAGGGTTTGACTTAAGTGGCCTGCTTTACAACCAATATTGAGGAACGCTATGGAGTGTTGGGTTTCCAACATAAATGGGTGGGTTTCCTGCTATGTCTTATACATAGCCAAATGAGAATTGCCAAAAAGGAAAAAAGGTACTGACTCAAATAAAATGCCAATATTGGTTCAAGGGGTAGGTGTGCGGCTACAACAGAACTGAGGCAAAGGACAAATTGGATGAGCTGGAAGTCTCATGCCTGGTTTCATGATGAGAGGGGCCTGTATTTTTATTGTCAGAAAAGCAAGGATAGGATAGTGTTGGAAAGCTCAGTGGGGTGAAGGCTGGTGGGGAAGTCGTGCCATGAGCCGTAAGCTGCACATGAAAGACATTCTGCAGCACTTCAGCTTGATTACATTTCCAGCAGAAATAGAGTCCACACCAGACTTCATTCAGAGCACATGAAGAAGAAGCAAGTCACTGAGAAAACAATAAGACTGAAAGTTGCTGTGGATTCAGGAGGGAAATAATAGATGTTAAAATGTATAAAAATATATAAAACAAGTCTCAGCTGATAGCAGAATAAAAGCAACAACTGTTAAGTATTCATAGATAGGAAGGAGTAGGGATAGAATAATATGTTTCATGCAGCGTTTTGGCATGAGGGAATTCTTCTGGGGCAACTGTCTTCTTTTTGACTTTATATGTTAATTCCAATTGACTTTATATGTTAATTCCTAAAATACTTAAGGTACATGGTCATTTTTATTTTAATTGTAGGGAAGAATTTGGCTCAAATAATCCATATTTACTTCAACATGCAAAACAGATAAAATATATTGTACATCTGAAAGCAACATGGTTTATATTTTTGGGTGGGTTTTTTTTTTAGGCTTTAGAGATAATACTACCATTCAGTCATACAGAATTATTTACAAAAACTTGCTGATATGATGGGATGTTAAAAGGGTGACGTTTCTGCCTCCTTTTCTTCATCTTCAACAATCACAGTCTGCTTATCTTCTTTAAGTAATTTAATACCTTCAACAAGAGAATGAAGACAGGTTAGCACGTGAGAGAGTCATGAATGTACCTGCCTTAATGATCCAGTCAACTACATATATTCCACAGGATAGTGTAAATATAGGGTGAGGTCTTGTTGGATCACTGCATTAGCCAGGTGGCTGAATTTTACTTAAAATATACATATGCCACCCCATGCCCATTAGCTAGCCCAGATTCCCAGCTTTCATTTTTAAAAAAACTGTATTTGGATCTTGTAGAAGGAAATAATGTACATAGTCAGTATTCTACTAGTGTTTTACAATAAGTGAGGCAGCTATTGTCTTTCAGTGTGCTTGTGGCTATGAAAATTGGAGATATTAAAGGAACATTTTGTGCAAAGATGGACATGATAAAGGACAAAAATGGGAGAGACATCACAGAAGCAGAAGACATGAAGAAGAGGTGGCAAGAATACACAGAGGAGTTATGCCAGAAAGTTCTGGATGTCCCGGACAACCCGCATACTATGGTTGCTGACCTTGAGTCAGACTTCCTGGAGAGTGAAGTCAAGTGGGCCTTAGAAAGCATGGCTAACAACAAGCCCAGTGGAGGTGATGGCATTCCAGCTGAACTATTTAAAATCTTAAAAGATGACATTGTTAAGGTGCTACACTCAATATGCCAGCAAGTTTGGAAAACTCAGCAGTGGCCAGAGGATTTGAAAAGATCACTCTACATCCCAATCCCAAAGAAGGGCAGTGCCAAAGAATGCTCCAACTACCATACAATTGCACTCATTTCACACACTAGCAAGGTTATGCTCAAAATCCTCCATGGCAGGCTTCAGCAGTATGTGGACCGAGAATTCCCAGAAGTACAAGCTGGATTTCAAAGAGGCAGTGAAAATAGAGACCAAATTGCTAACATGGGCTGGATTATGGAGAAAGCCAGAGAGTTCCAGAAAAACATCTACTTCTGCTTCATTGACTACGCAAAAGCCTTTGACTCTGTGGATCAAAGCAAACTATGGCATGTCCTTTAAAAAATGGAAGTTCCAGACCACCTTATCTATCTCCTGAGAAACCTGTACATGAGACAGGAAGCAACAGTTAGAACTGGATATGGAACAACTGATTGGTTCAAAATTGGAAAAGGAGTACGACAAGGCTGTATATTGTCTCCCTGCTTATTTAACTTATAAGCAGAATACATCATGCAGAAGGCAGGACTGGATGAATCCCAAGGCAGAATTAAGATTGCCAGAAGAAATATCAACAACCTCAGATATGCAGATAATACCACTCTGATGGCAGAAAGTGAGGAGGAATTAAAGAACCTCTTAATGAGGGTGAAAGAGGAAAGAGCAAAAAATGGTCTGAAGTTCAACATAAAAAAACCTACGATCATGGCCACTGGCCCCATCACCTCCTGGCAAATAGAAGGGGAAGATATGGAGGCAGTGACAGAGTTTACCTTCTTGGTCTCCATGATCACTGCAGATGGTGACAGCAGCCACAGAAATAAAAGAAACCTGCTTCTTGAGAGGAAAGCGATTACAAATCTAGACAGTGTCTTAAAAAGCAGAGACATCACCTTGCCAACAAAGGTCCATATAGTCAAAGCTATGGTTTTTCCTGTAGTGATGTACAGAAGTGAGAGTTGGACCATAAGGAAGGTTGACCACTGAAGAATTGATGCTTTTGAATTGTGGTGCTGGAGGAGACTCTTGATAGTCCCCTGGACTGCAAAGAAAACAAACCTATCCATTTTGCAGGAAATCAACCCTGAGTGCTCACTAGAAGGACAAATCCTGAAGCTGAGGCTCCAATACTTTGGCCATCTCATGAGAAGAGAAGACTCCCCGGAAAAGACCCTGATGTTGGGAAAGTGTGAAGACAAGAGGAGAGGGGACGACAGAGGATGAGATGGTTGAACAGTGTCATTGAATCTACCAACATGAACTTGACCCAACTCCAGGAGGCAGTGGAAGACAGGATGCTCTGGTTCATAGGGTCACAAAGAGTTGGACACGACTAAACGACTAAACAACAATATGGTTATGAATCACATTTTGGGGGGCTTTATAAGTTTTTAAATGTAGAGTGGTCCATCCTCTCCCACTTACCCACACACATGTTGCACCTAGGGCAAACAGCACACAGAAAGCTATATAGTCATGAAACTGGGATGAGTGGGAAGCACAACGACACAAAGTGCCTGTTAGCATCATAATGTAACGATTAGGTCAGTATCTCGTTGTTAGTCCAAACTGGCATTAGAGCCATTTAATTAACTTCTAAATAATAAGTCAACACTTCTGTAAATCCCATTGAGTCAGTGGGTTTACTCTAGCTAGAATAGCAATAGGATAATGTAAGGTTCATGGATGCTGCTGCTTTAGCAGTCTTGATGTGGCAATTCTATGCACTTCTGCTCAGCTTCCAGGGAAACAGGTTAACAGCTAAGATTGGTAAGCTCGGCTTTCAGCCCCTCTTTTTTCCTGCCCTGAAGAAAGGTGCAGGTGAAAAAAATTCCATTTAATCAAGGCAGATACTTCCTGTGAAGCTTCAATTGCTTAAAAGTGGCTTTAAAGAATGATTTGAAATAAGCTGGTTATTATGACCAAGGCCCAGGCTCCCTGAAGGACCACATTCTTCCATATGAGCCTGGAAGGCTCTGAGATGTTGTGCCATCATCCTGAGGCACATTTTGGCAGGCCTACACAGAAAGAGAGGCTCCTTCTGGGCTCTGGAATTCTCTCCCCAAAGAGGCTGGAGTGGCCCCTCCTTGTCATCCTTCTGTGATCAGGCAATAAATAGCCTTTGCCTTCTCATTGCTTCTGGCACTTGAGTTGCTCTTTCTGGAACAGGCTTGTAAAGGAGTTGTGTTAAATTAGTGTGTTTTACATTATTTCTGCTTCAATAGTGTTTTATTACTATGGTTGCTTTAATTGCATCTCCTCATAAGTTTTTCTATGCTTTTATCTTTCCTTCTTTGTAACGGCATCTGGTTTCCTTTTGTTGTGATCTACCTCAGGCTCCAGTTCTATAAATCATTTTTTTTAAAAGACACACAAGGATAATGAAGGCAATATTTTCACTATTCAGTAGTTTCACAGTATAATTTAAGAAAAAAATATATCAAGCTGGCAGGTAGACTGGGTGCAGCAGCGGGGTGAGGTAAAGAACCTTGGTATTACAAAATTAAACGTCAGTCTTCACCTTTTAATGTATAATGGTTTTTTGTTTTGCTGGGCTGCTCAAACTCTGCATTTGCTTCATGAAGTGTGTGTGCTTGTAAATAATTGCTTTTTCCATAGATGTATGTTTTTTTTTAACATAGGGTATTTCTCATTATCTGCTTTAGCTTGGTATTTTATACATTTAACTGCTTCTCATCTTCCCTAAGCCTTAGTAATTTTGAACAATTTAAGCTGATATGATTAAATAAAACTTCCAGCTGCTTGTCTAAAAAAGCAGTGAATACTCACATTGGGCTGGGATGTCAAAAAACAACACCTTCCTCAGTTCTGAACAGATGTTTACAATAATTGTTTTTGGCTTCTCATCACTATGTTCTAAAAACGTTGGAGATCATGTATGCCTTGTTGAGACTCAGTTTTTCCTGCTTGTGGATTTCCTCCTAAATCCTGAGTTTTAAGCATGGTTGGACAGCCAAGACCTGCTATTCTAAAGGATGTGCCGCATTGGCCTGAGCCCAGGAAAAATCTGCCCAAATTATGTGGCTTGTTCTAGAAGCCTGTGTCTTCCCTGTGTCCTAGTTTAACCTCTTGCAAGACACAAGGTGAATATAGATATTCTCGTAAATGTCTTCTGGTTTGTTGCAGACTCTGGAAATTATATCTATGCATTTGCAGGCCAGAAATAAAATTTTCCATGAAGCTTTTTTTGGAACTTTACTTGTTTGTGGTTGGCTGTGCCCAACAATTTTTTTAAGCATCATCACTAAAGGATAGTGCACAGAACAAGAGTCGAATTCACAAAATGTCATCCAGTTATAGGGAGGGTGAAAATAATGTTACTCTGCTATTTCATTTGCATTATTAATAATATTTAAACACGTACATTTGAAGATTTGTTTGCCTCAAAAATGAAACTGCCATATTCATCCTGGTTCTGAGCTTTTTGGGCTGTTTTTGAAAACAGAAACCACATGGAACAAAACTGTGTTGATTATTTACACTGACATAAATGCAATGGCAAATTGCTGCTAGCTAAGTAGTTCTGCTAATTCTCTTGTATAGATACATCTATATTTTAGATTATCTCACATTCAGACCAGAAACAGACTACAGAGGAAGCCTGTAACTAGAAAGGGGAAATTCTTTAATAATGTCAGCATCTTGAGATCTGGTCTATGACAAAGAATATAAGCAAGGATTCATTTACTAGCAGCAATCCACTCCTGCTATTTGTGGCAATGCATTTACACGAGCATGAATAACCAGCAGGATTGTGGCCTCTATTTATTTATTTTATTTTATTTCTACCATGCCTTTCTGCAGAAAGGAGACCCAAGTAAGCTGATTGGGTGCAGTGGGGCCAGCCTCCAAGTAACTATGAACAAGGCTGCACTGCACAACTGCCTCATTTACACCACACTCTAGCTGGATTGAAGCCAGTGGATTGGTCAATGTTGCCATTTTCATTCTTAAAGTAAGGCAATTACGCTTTGTTATAAATTTAAAACCACAAGTCCACTGCCTGCTACCTAAAGACGGCAAAATCGGTCAATTTGCTTTTTGCTGTATTTTTACTGTAGTTCCATTCTAATTAGGAAGAATGCACAGATTTTGGTATATTCTTTAGAACTAACTGTAATAAAAACTGAAATACTGTAAAATAAAACTTTCCCCCACTTGCATCAGACAAATTCTGCTTCCATATAGGTTGTAAATATGAGGACCCTCTCAGAGAAAAAATGTGGCAATCCTAATTCGGCACTACCATTATAATAAATAAATAGATAGGTACACTAACAACTGGGGGTGAAGCACTGAAAGACCTGGCCTGAGT